TTCGAGGTGAAGCAGTTGCCACGCAGCTTATCTTAGGGGCTCGGTGAGGGTCCCCAACACGGGGCTTGTTGGGGGCGCTGCGGTGCCATCTTGGGGCTTGCAGCCTGATGGCTGCTGCTCTTGGGTCATTCTCAGCTTCGTTTGAGGCCTTCTTGGCGTTGTGTTGGGGCTTTTCCTGGATCGCGCTTGGGAGGTTGTTTGGATGCATTTTTTGGCGCCTGCTGGAGCCTCTTGGGGCATTTTTGGGTGCCTCTTCGGGGCGTGCTGACGGTCTCGGAGGCCATCCTTGGGGGAAGGGCTCGGACTGTCAGTTCGGGCTCCCCCCCGTTTTGGGTCCCCCTCGGGGGATGCCGGGGCCCCCTTTTGGGGGGCCTCCCGGGCCGTCGCGGGGCCCTCTCGGGCCGTCGTGGGGGGCCCTCCTGGGAGCTGCCTTGAGGGCACCTTCGGCCTCCCGACCTTGGGGCTCCCTTGGAGTGCCGTTGGGGAGGAGGAGGAGGAGGAGGAGGAGGAGGAGGAGGAGGGGGAGGAGGAGGAGGAGGAGGAGGAGGAGGAGGAGGAGGAGGAGGAGGAGGAGCGAGAGAAAGGAGGGGCGGGAGAGCGAGACAGAGAGAGAGAGGGAAGGTATGATCAACATAGAGGAAGAGACATGCAAAGCACCTGGACCTTCCGCCGGAGATTCTAGCGCGCCCTTGGCCCGTTGGGCCGGCGAGTCTGTCCTGCATGGCGAGCACGGCCGTGTGCCAGTCGAGGCGCGATGCCCCAGATGTTGGACCCGCGTTGTCCGTGGGCCCACCTCGCACAGCGGCCTTTCCAACACGCAGCGCGGCTCGGAGGAAGGTGTCTATCTTGAAGATGTGCGCCGCGTCTGGGGACGTATTGTGCAGTCTGGCAGGCTTTCCGCTTTCTATGTTTCTTTGTTGCCCTGCCCATTCGGCCCAAGCGCGCGTTTCAGCCCCTTCTCGGACGCAACCCGACACGCCTGCCAGCTCTTGGAACGGGTGCACGGCATGCCGGGTAATCAGCACCATCGTCCCAGGAACTGTCCAGCTCCATCGCGGGCACTTCGCCACAAAAAGAGGCCCCTTTGGCAACGACTGGTTCGCAATCCCTCCCCCTCCCCACAGATGGCTGGGGTCGTCCGCGACCCATCGCCTCCTCCTGCTCCTCCTCCTCCTCATCATCCGCGCCCATCGCCCCCCTCTGCCTTTTGAGGGGGAGGGCTAAGAGGAGGGGGAGGAAGCTGGCGAGGAGGGGGAGGCGGAGGGAGAGGGGGAGGGGGAGCGGGAGGGGGAGGGGGAGGGGGAGGGAGAAGAGGATGATGATGCTGCTGCTGGTGATGATGACGATAATGATGATGATAATGATGATGATGATGATGATGATGATGATGGTGGTGTGGTGGTGGTGTGGGGTGGTGGTGGTGATGGTGGTGGTGGTGGTGGTGGTGATGATGATGAGATGGTGAGTGGTGGTGGTGGTGTGATGATGATGATGATGTGGTGGTGATTGGTGATGATGATGGATGGGATGGGTGGTGGTGGTGATGATGATGATGATGAGGAGGATGAGATGAGGATGAGGATGAGGAGGATGAGGATGAGGATGATGATGATGATGATGATGATGATGATGATGATGATGATGATGATGATGATGATGATGATGATGATGATGAGATGATGATGATGATGAGATGATGATGATGATGATTGATGATGATGATGATGGTGATGATGATGATGATGATGATGATGATGATGAGGAGGAGGAGGAGGAGGAGGAGGAGGAGGAGGAGGAGGAGGAGGGAGGGGGGGAGGAGGGGGGAGGAGGGAGGAGGGGAGGAGGAGGAGGAGGACGGGGGGAGGGGAGGAGAGGGGAGGGTTAGAAATAGGCGGATGATGAGGAGGACTAGGAGGAGGAGGAGGGGAGGAGGAGGAGGAGGAGGAGGAGGAGGAGGAGGAGGAGGAGGAGGAGGAGGAGGAGGAGGAGGAGGAGGCGGAGGAGGGAGGAGGAGGAGGAGGAGGAGGAGGAGAGGAGGAGGAGGAGGAGGAGGAGGAGGAGGAGGAGGAGGAGGAGGAGGAGGAGGAGGACAATGGCGAGCTTGGGGGCCTTTCGGGCCGTCTAGGGGCCTCTTTGCGGTCCCAGGGGCCTCTTGCGTACCTTGGGAATCCTCTTGGGGCTTCTTGGGAGTCTTCTGGGAGCCTCTTGAGGCCTCTTGGGTGCCTCTTGGGGCCTCCTTGGCACCTCTTGCAGCCCTCTTGGAGCGCTCTTGGGAGCCTTGGGGACGCTCTTGGAGCCATCTTGGATGGCACCGATCAAACAAGGGGAGGGTCGCGAGTAGCATTGCCCCTCGAGAGTGCCTAAAATAGCCTCTTGGACCCTTCGTAGAGCGCTCTTGGGGCGCTCTAGGGCGCTCTTGGTGCCGTCTTGGGGTTTCTTGGGGCTCTTTTGGGGCTGTCTGGTGCCCTCTTGGAGCTGTCTTGAGGTCTCGGAGGGCCATCGATAGGAAGAAAGGCGAGAAAACACAACTCATTGATTTTCCGTAGGTTTTGGAAGTATGTTGGCCTCTTGGTGGCCTCCTGGGGAGGCTTCGTGGCCACCTGGGGCCGTATTGGAGCGTTCTTGGGGCCTCTTTGAGCCTCTTGGGAGCCATCTTGAGGCATCTGGTGCCATCTTGAGCCATCTTGGAGGTCATCTTGGGCTCTCTGAGGCGCTCTTGGTGCCGTCTTGGGCCATTTTGGACGCTCAACCCCCTCGCGAACCCCCCCGTCCAAATCCAGGGGAGTGGGTAAGGGGGGGGGGGTAAACCCCTCCCCGAAGGGGAAGAATGGGATCGGAAGAGGAAGCGCTCTGGATCAACGCCCAGAGAGCTTGTGGGATCCCCTCCCGCCCCCCTTCGGCTTCCAGCCGAGCGACGGCAGGTCCTGACCGCCCTCTCCAGAGCCTGGCGGGAGGCGGGGGATCTGGACCCCCGAGGAGGCGCGGCGCCACTTCGACGAGGTGCAGCGGCAGAACGGGGAGCTCACGATGCGCCTGACGGAGGCCACCCGCAGACCCTCTCTCGCGCCGGCCGCCGGCCGCGCGTCGGCCGCGCCCTGCGCCCTCCCCTTGCTCGCTGCGCCCTGACCCTAGACCCCCTCGAGTTACGACAACAATCACGACGGGAGGTTTTCCCTATATTTTCGGTCTCTGGGGGCCCTTGCCGGGCCTTAGGGCCGTCAAACAACGACTGAGCATTAAAGTCCGGTACCGGGGAATAGGTCGAGACCTCTGGGGGCCGATTATCATGAAAAATCATGACGTCGGGGTCTGGGACTAGGGGATGGAATCGGGAAGGAACTTGTTATGCTTCAAGGTCGAAGACGGCATCTCCAGTGTCTGTCAACACATGCCTCATGGAGCTGCAGGCCGGCCTGGCAAGGTCCACGGTGATCCAGGAACGGTCGCTCGAAGCACTGGCCAGGCCTTCCTTCCTTGAGATCCTGGCGTCGCAGATTTTTTCACAGCGGACTCACACCTGTGTCCTCGCAACACTTGCGAGGACACACAAACACAAGGAATAACCCACACATCAATATTTCACCAGGAATCACCTACTCTTAAGGAGTGATTCACAAGGAATACTTCCCCTTAGGGTGTATTAGCGTGCGCTAGTGCCTGGTAACCGATGAGAAAGCGCAGATTTAGCGTCGACTAGCGTCGATGTAGCGTCCACTGGCGTCGGCTAGCGTCGACTCGTAAGAGCCAGCAAGATCGTATTGGAGGCTTCCATACGTGGTCACCGACACAGCGGGTTCGAAGAGTGCCGCAGACAGATGGGGCCTAGAGCTGTGGTTGCCAGGCCCATGCCAGCCTCTCCTCCTCCTCCTGCGCCTCTCTCTGAACCCCCTTGTGCGCCTCCATATCGGCTTACAGAGGCCCTTGAGTCATGTGGGCACGCAGGCGACGGGCGCGCCTTGGGTTCCGTAAAACGAAAAGGGACCGTGCTCTCTCACAGCACGGCCCCCCCCCCAATTGTATTTCGTGTCTTTCTGTATTTCATACAGCTACTCCCGCTCAATCCACAGTGGTAGCGGAGCCTGTGGTTGAGATCCACGAGGGGAGTCAGGACGACTCCCCTGTCATTCGATTCTCGGGCGACGTACTCTTTACTCATATCCCGTTCTTCCCGCTCCCTACCCTGTTGCACCAAGCGCCGCCATGGATTTTGCAGACGACGCTCAGGCTCACGATATTGAGTTTCCAGCACATCCTGGGTTACAGCCAGAGCAGGATCCGTGGGCAGGAACCAGAAGACGAGAAGACTTCGAATCTCATGCGGCACATGATGTGCTCCTTCACCGCCTCCTCCTCCTCCTCCTCCTCGTCCTCCCCCTCCCCCTCCCCCTCCCCCTCCTCCTCGTCGTCGTCGTCCTCCCCCTCTCCCTCCCCCTCCTCCTCCCCTTCCTCTTCCTCTTCCTCTTCCTCTTCCTTCTCCTCCTCCTCCTCCTCCTCCTCCTCCTCCTCCTCCTTCTCTTCCTCCTCCTTCCCTTGGATCCTCCTTCCGCCTCCTTCTCTCCCTCCTCCTTCTTCCTCCCTCAACATCGCAACAAAAACACCAACCCTTGATCCCACTTGTGGGCGGCATTCGTCGAGCCGGATTCGCCTGGCAGGGTCCCGGGGCCCGAAAGAAAGCAAACTCTGCACTTTCGGTGGCAGTCCATGCGAGTCTCCCATGCCATCCTGCTGGCTCTTGCGAGTCGACGCTCGCCGACGCTAGCCGACGCCAAATCGACGCTAGTTCAGTCGGCCCGGATTAGTAGGTAGACCCTGCCAAACCAAGGGAATTTTGGTGTCTTGTGTGTTCGCGACACATGCCTTCTACATTCCTGTGGCAATGTGGCCCTCGGAAGGGTCTTGTGCCCTCTCGCGTGTCCTGTCCAATCGAGTCCGGCTGTGGTAGACGCTGAATGTGGAAGATGCCCAGCTCTGAGGATCTCTCTCTCCTCCCTGCGCTGCTCCTCCCCCCCCGTTCGGCCAGCCGCTGCCCCCGCCCGCTCCCCCCCCCACCCCCAGTGGACGACGACGACGACGACGACGACGACGACGACGACGACGACGACGACGGCGGCGACGGCGACGACGACGACGACGACGACGACGACGACGACGACGACGACGACGACGACGACGACGACGACGACGACGACGACGACGACGACGACGACGACCCCCCCCAGCGCACCCCAGGAGCTCGGCCTGTCCCGTCGCCTCTCGGACGGGCCGCGTCGCGGCCCCCGCCGTGCGGCCGCCGCCGCGTGCGGGGGAGGAGGGGGAGGAGGGGGAGGAGGAGGGGAGGAGGAGGAGGAGAGGAGGAGGAGGAGGAGGCGGAGGAGGAGGGGGAGGGGGAGGAGGAGGAGGAGGAGGAGGGAGGAGGGAGGAGGAGAGGAGCAGGAGGAGGAGGAGGAGAGGAGGAGAGGAGAGGAGGAGGAGGAGGAGAGGAGGAGGAGGAGGAGGAGGAGGAGGAGGCGGAGGCGGAGGCGGAGGAGGATGGGAATCCTGGCCGCTGGACCTTCGGCTGTGCCCCTGTTGAAGCGTGGTGGCCGCCTCTGAGCTATCATGTGCAGGCCAATGGGCAGCATTTTGGGTGCTTAGAGCCTTTCATGTGGGACAACCTCAGAATGTCCGATAGAGATGCGCTTGCACCATCCAACGGATGAGATGCTTGGCATTTGGGAGAGGGTCAGAGTCATCATCCACCTACCCTCGTGAACCTGAAGGATTTCATGTGGGCCCACTTCAAGGACAAATGGGAACCACTGGAGCCAGCTGACCAAGATAGTGGCGGTGAAGAAGTTGAAGGAGACGATCGTCCTGTCGACCCAGGCGCCAGCGCTGCTTCCTCCTCTCGTGGAGACAAGCGCCACGCGCAGCCACCGCCGCCAAGGCAGAGGGATCGATGCGTGAAGGCAAGGGCCATCGAGCGTGGCAGTGAGTTACCGCGCGCTCAGAAGCGCAGCGGCAGCTACCCTCCGGGCCAAGCTTCGACCACGTGCCTCCGCGCGTGGGAACTTACGAAGTGGGGGCTGGAGCAGAGCATGCCCCTGCGAGCGCCTCGGCATTGGCCCGGTCGCGATAAACAGATCTCCCGAAGGAGATTTCCGCGCCTCGTCGGAGGCTCCGCCGTGGCAGCAGGTAGAGCCGAGGCCTGCGCGGAACGCGCCCTCAGAAAGGGATTGGGCTAGCCATGCCATCCCGAGGCTGCCGCCTGCGCCGCCCGCGCCGACGTCGCTGTCGGCCGAGTTGGCCGCGACAGAGTCCTCTGCGCCACGGTGTCGCGAACGCTGCCAGTGGCGGCAGGGCGAAGCGGCATCTTTGCAAGCTTGGTGCGCTGACCCTACCGGTTGCTGGACATCCTGGTCATCTTCCTCGAGCTGGGCTGTTTGGCAGGCTCCGCGTGGCGACCAGGGTTGGGGTGCCGGTCGTGATGGCCGCTGCAGCGGCCAGTGGTGGAAGGACTGTCGCTCTGGCGGCAGGCATGGGTAAGAGGTTGCGAGGTGGTGTCTCAGTCTGAGCTGTCCACCGCAGGGCGCAGCTATGATCCGTGGGTGCGCCGCGGCCATCGACCGGCTGGTTGCCATGTGAGTTGATGGCTGGGCGGAACGCGCATCTAATGCTGCGCTTTAGGGTGGGGCGCGCCGGGGCGCCCTCGACTTGTCCTACAGAGCGGTGACAGGGGTGCTCCCCTCCCCGCCGCCTGTGCCTTAACAGCTTATTGGGGCTGGCGCGGTGGGAGGCCCGAAGTGGCGCTGAGGGAGGGGGTGAAGCCTGTTCGGCCTGTCCCGCCTCTTCTGCTTGGGATGTTAGCCAATGCGTTGACGCCCGCCCTCGCGCGGCGGTGTCGCGCCGGGAGGCCGCGGTGGGAGTCATTGCTAACGCTCCTCTCGCCCCTTCAGCTGCCCTCCACTCTTTTCCTTTGCAGAGTGTTGGTAGGGCTTGGATCTGAGGGAGAGAGGGAGCCTCTCCGAACTTGTTTAGTTACTCGGAGCAAGTGCGCGCGCCGGCCAGCCAGATGGGCGGGCAGCGCGCGCATGCGCGCGCACACACGCACGCGCGCGCTACCTCATTGCTTAGAGTAGCTCCGCTTCATGGACTGCTCCAGCCACGCGTTCACCATCTCGTCGTGGGGGGCTAGCTTCTCGTGAGCCACACGAAGGAGAGGAGGATCAGCAAGCATAGCTGCCTATTACTGTCAAGAGATGTTTGCCTAATGTTCGGGCGAAGAGAACTATGCACATGCACCGATCCTGGCAAGGCCCATCCTTGACCCAGGATCGGTGCATATACCTTCCTGGCCAAGGTAGGAGGGCGTATGCACCGCGCCCGCGCGGGACGTCTGCGGCGTGGCGTGCGTGCCGCGTGCCCGCGCGGGCGTGCTGGGGCAGCCAAGGGGAGGAGGAGGAGGAGGAGGAGGAGGAGGAGGAGGAGGAGAGGAGAGGAGGAGGAGAGGAGGAGGAGGAGGAGAGGAGAGGAGGAGGAGGAGGAGGAGGAGGAGGAGGAGGAAGAGGATCAGCAGGCATACCTGCCTATGACTGTCAAGGGATGTGTTTGCCTAATGTGACGACAGAGAGGCAGAGCACTCCATGACACGCACATGCAGTCTCGAGGTCCGTGCGGACGTCTCGCATCGGCGCTGGGCCCCCCTCTCTTCATGTCGCGCGGAGCGCGCCGGGCGCAGCGCCGGAGGGCGCCGCCGGGGGGGGATCCGCTCGGGGTTGGACAGAACCCCCAACAGTGACACGTCTATTAGTGAATTGTCCGTTTTCGGTTCTCGAGAGGGCGCCGCGGCCGTTATTTTCCAGGCCTGCGCCCGCCAGGTTTGGGCCTCAGGTCGTTTTCACTCAACCACGTTTTACTAAAGGGGGGTCTGTCCATCCCCGATCCGCGCGGACCTCCAAGTTTTACTGTTTGTGTCGTGGCTTTCGTCGAGCTGACGCTCGCCTTCGCTGGCGACAGATCCACGCCACACACTCCTCACGATATTCGAAAAGGGAAAGAAAAGACACCACGGCGTGCAGGCCCGGGTCGTCCGACCCTTCCAATTGAAAGCCGACGCCATCTCGCTTGGTTGCCAGTCTGGCCCGTCGTGATTCGGACGGTGATCAAAGCAGACCCTTGTCTTGAAAGGGAGGCGGAGTAGAAGAGGGAAGGCGCGGAGGCACGATATGAGTGGTGGGGAGGGGCCAGAAGGCAGGGACACACTGAGACGGTTCCTGATGGCATCGAGTGAGGCTGGGAAGGGGGGGGAGAGGAACGACGCGGGCTGGGGAAGCGTGGTGGGGATGACGGGGGAGACGTGATGGGGGAAGGGTGAGGGTGGACGGGAGGGGGGAGTGGGGAAGAGGAGTCGGGGCCAGTGGGGGACGGATGATGGCGCGTTGCCTGTGCCCGCTGTCATTGCCCGTTGCACGGGAATTCTCGCTCCGTTCTGGTTTCCATTATGCCATGTTTCGGATGCAACTCCTGGGAGGTTAAATTCTGACTTTGCCCTGGTCCGAAATCCGGCTTAATCCGGCTTAATCCCGCTTAATCCGGCTTAATCCCGTTTAATCCCGCTTAATCCGGCTTAATCCTGCTTAGTCCGAGGCCCATTCCGGCGTAACAGCTCCCAAATGGGGCTTAATCCCATTTAATTTTTCCGATGAAAACCTCCCAGTAGTTGCTTCTTAACCATGTATCCCCTCCAGCGTCGCCGACCTCCCTGTGCCGCAATGCCGTCTGCCTGTCCTGTGCCCGCGATCCCGCGGGCTGGTCGACGCTTCGGGCCCCACGAGGCCAGCCAGCATGCCCAAAGCAAAACAGGAGGTTGAGATGTGGATGGGGTGAGGGTGCAGGAAGGGTGGGGGAACTGACGGAAGGGAGGATGGACGATAGTTCTGGGGAACGAGAGCGCCTTGGAGAACAGAGGTTCCCGATTCTCCATCTGGAGGGCTCTCACCTTCCCCCCCTTTCCCGCCCCATCCTCCATCTTCGCCATCGGCATGCGGTGCTTCTTGGATCACAGTGGCTCACATCGCCCCACGGGGCGTGCCCTGCTGCCCGTTCTACTTCCCGCGTCCTCTTCCACCTCCTCCTCCTCCGCCTTCCCTCCCCGCCACCTGTACCTCGTCCTCGTCCTCGGCGTGAATCTCCGACGTGCGTTTTTTTGTTTGGGGGGTGGGGGGGAGGGGAGGGGTTTGTAACCCACGGCAGCGTGCCCCGCGGCCTCGCAACCGTCTCCTGTCCCCTATCGCCTTCCCTCTCCCCCCCCCTCACCCCTCTCCCCCTCCCTCTCCCCCTCCTTCTCGGGATCACTGCCATGCTCGGCATTCACCCGTGCGGGCAGAAAAAGAGAGAGAGAGAGAGAATATCTACGCCGCGGGAAGGGACGGCATGGAGTGGTTGACGGGCATGGGAGGCGGGCCTCCTCCTCGTCGGGCGCGCGATCCTTCCTTCCTCCTCTCCCTCCTCCTCCCCCTCCTCCTCCTCCTTCTCCTCCTCCCCCTCCTCCCCCTCCTCCTCCCCTCCCCTTCCGTAGCCATTTTTGGCTCAAGGCGGTGGGCCCCGTCCCACGCTTTGATCGCGGCGCCTCACCGAGCGGTGAGATCACCGATGGCGGCCTGCGGCGACGACGACGTGGGCGCGCGGCTCCTGTGCCTGGAGGGCCTGCCCTACGCCCAGGCGGCGTTTGGGGCCTTCTTGGCGGCGGCAGGCCCATCCATGGGGCCGAAAACTACGGCGGCGCTGGTGGCGGCGGCGGCACGCGGGGCGGCCCAAGGGGCGGCGGCGGGCGGCAGGCCGTGCGGCGGCGCGGACAACGACGACCAGGGTCCCGTCGGCGACATGGACATCGTGCTGGCGAGGGTCAAGGCCGTCTCGGGGCATGCGGGGGAGCTCAGCGTCTCGGACGCGAAGGGGTGGCTGCGGAGCCACGGCGCGCGCGGCAGCGCCGCCGCCACGCGGCTGGGCAAGCTCAGCAAGCTCCGCAACAGCAAGTCCCACCCTCTCGTGCAGCAGCTCATGGTGGAGATCGCGCAGCTGGCCGGCGTTGGTATGGTCGGCTTGCAGGCGGTCGCCGTTGGCTCGTTCGCAGGCGACGACAAGCTGCAGATCGTGCAGGAGGGGAAGCCGGGGCCTCCTGGCGCGGCGCCACGCCCTCGCGAGTGCACCCACTCGGTGGGAGGTAGCGCGGCTGGGCACACGGACAGCTCGGAGGACAAGGTTCCGGAGGGACCTCCACTCGCGCCTGGCAGGCGCCGTGGTGGGAGGTCCCACAAGTACTTCAAGAAGGACGAGGGGGGGTGCACTTCGGCTGGCTCTCTACCGGGCGACGTCGTCGGTGGCATCGGGGAGTGCACGACCGACTCCGAGGTGGTCGGCTCCGCTCGCGGTGGCACGTTGCGCGTCCAGGAGAAGATGCGGGTGCCGTTCGTCGAGGGCCTGCCCTACCCGGTGGAGGAGACGGAGGTGCGCGCGGCGTGCCTCGCGGCCCTCCTCGCGCCCGGCAAGGCCACCTACTCTCCGGAGCAGTGCGAGCGCATCGCCTGCCAGCCCGACTTCGAGAACGTCAAGCGCTACCTCGCAAGCTGTTCGTCATGAGTGCTGCCCGAGGCGGGCCGTCGGCGTTCTAGTGGCTCTGGCTGGATCCGCCTCGAAATTTTGGTCGGCGGCCCCCGCGGCGTGTTTTGCGGGGGTGGCGCCTCGGACTGGGGCTCGCGCAGGAGCGCGAACCCGTGTCCCCTTCCCTGGGGGCCTCTGGGGGCCGTCTGGTCGCCCGTCCGTCCCCGCGGGGGTGGCTTCCGTTCCCCTGGCCTGCCCTTGCGGTAGGCCAGGGTCGCGACGGATGCCTGTCGGGGCTTGTTCGGGCCCCCCCTCGTCGCCACGTCCGGCTGCGCCGCGCTCGCGGCGGCGAGGGACTCACCGAGCGAGGAACTTCTGGCGGCCCTGGCAGTCGTGAGTTTCACTCACTTCTTTCACGGCTTCAGTGGAATCTGCGCCCACCACCATCCAATCCTCCTCCCCCCCTCCTCCTCCTCCTCCTCCTCCTCCTCCTCCTCCTCCTCCTCCTCCTCCTCCTCCTCCTCCTCCTCCTCCTCCTCCTCGCATCCTCCTCCTCCTCCCCCTCTCTCCGCTCTTCCCCTCTCGACCGTCCCTTTGCGCCCCATGCGCCCCCCCGCCCCCTCTTCTGGCCGTCCCCTCGGCTCCCCTCCATTCCTGGAGCAGGGGATCAACTGCAACGCTGAGGCACCCCAGCATGTACTTTCTCGTCGAGCGTGCAAGAAAACGTATAATGCCCCTAGATCTACCAGCGTTCTGCGCACGTGTCGCAGATTCGACGAACAGATCAGGTTCGGGGTAAATCGATTCTGTAGTCGACCCCCACTCGAATTCCTCGCCCCCTCCCAGGATCAGCTCGTGGAGATGGAGGAGCGCTTCTTCGGCCTTCAGGACGGCCTGCCCCAGAGGGGAGGGGCTGTGGACGATGTTGTCTCGATGCCGAGACTCGCCTGCTCTGTTGCTGCCGTTGCCGCCCCCGAAGTGCACATTCAGGAGGGGAATACACACGCACATACACACTTCATCGTCGATTCCCCAGAGAATATGGGAACATATGGGAAGTCGGGGGGGGGGGAAACAAAAACATGGCGAACATATAGGAAGATATAGAGATTCCTGTTAGTTGTGTCTATTTATTTGTGTGTCCCAGGGCCCTTTCACACATGACGATCTCCGCAGGCTAACGTGGACGAAAGAGCTGCGCCTTAGTGTTGCGTGAACTGCGCCGACAGCCCTGAGCTTGGACTTTGTCGTTGTGTTCGCACGACCTGCGGGCCGAGCACCTAGACCGGATGGACGGGCCAACGCCATGATGGTCCCTGCCCCTCGCGCGCACGCCCGAGAGAGAGGGAGAGACAACACCGTGCACGTCAGAGTCAGAGGTGCATTGGCAAGATGGCGAACCAGGCCGCTATAGTAATGAACAGTTCTGTTGTGGAACATAAGTGAACTACGGAAACGTGCGCTCTTGTTTCAGGGTCCTTGCAGATCTCGAAACAAGCTTCAAAACACTCGCAGAGCCAGCGCAGGGACCGATTGCGAAAGCTGAACTTAGGTGTGCCATCGTGAGTACAGGGATTGCCAGAAAGGGTGGACAAACAGCTCGAGCCAGGATGGTCACAGAGGCAGACAGCAAGTAGGAGGAGGAATTAGGAAGAGGAGGAGGAGGAAGAGGAGGAGGAGGAGGAGGAGGAGGAGGAGGAGGAGGGTGAAATGATAAGGAGGATGCACGAGGAGAGCAAACGGATTATCATGATGGTGATTGTGATGACGAGGTTTTGACGCTGAGGCTGAGGCTGATGCTGATGCTGATGATGTTTGACGATGGCGAGTAGAAGATAAGGATGATAATGAAGGCGCTGACGCTAATGCTGGTGCTGATGCTGATGCTGGTGCTGGTGTTAGTGCTGGTGCTGCTGGTGCTGCTGCCGTTGCTGCTGCGGCGGCGGCTGATGATGATGATGATGATGATGACGATGATGCTGATGATGCTGATGATGCTGATGATGCAGATGATGCTGATGATGATGCTGCTTGATGATGATGATGCTGATGATGATGGTGATTATTATGATGCTGATGATGATGATGCTGATGATGATGATGATGATGATGATGATGATGATGCTGATGATGATGATGATGATGCTGACGATGATGATGCTGATGGTGGTGGTGGTGATGATGATGATGATGCTCATGATGATGATCATCATCATCATGATGAGATGGAGGGAGACTCTTGGTGACGTCCCTCCTTGGTGGTTTGTGCGATCGCGCAGGTGGACGCGGCGGAAACGTCGCAGTTCGCAGCCGACGACTCAGGCTGACGCATGGAGCAGCCGCAATGGGTGTCCCCTCCTTTCCTTGAACACCTTCCCGTTCCCCTTGCCCTTCCCAGTTCACCCTGTCCCTCCCCATCGGCCGCCCCGTCTTTACCTGTCCCCCCGTTCCTCTGGCCCCTCCTCTTTCCTCGTCTTCCTCCACGTCTCCGCCCTGAGTGCACGAGGAGGAGGAGGAGGAGGAGGAGGAGGAGAAGGAGGAGGAGGAGGAGGAGGAGGGGGGTGAGCAGGAGGAGGAGGAAGAGGAGAAGGAGAAGGAGCAGGAGGAGGAGGAGGAGGAGGATGAGGAGGACCAATATAAACCCAAGACGAATCAACGATGCTGCAATAAGCCTTCCTCCACGCTCCCTCTTCATAGGGCCCTGGAAGGACATATTTTCAAATCCAGAAGTGTTCCGTTGGAAGACAAACGTTTGATAATCCCAAATCGTGCCAACACAACACACCCAGCCTTGGACTTCAACGCCGCGAACCAACTTTACTGATGCTTCTTGATGATTCCTTCATCGTGCCAGAACACCAGTCGTAGGAATTCAACACCGCGAATCTACGTGATTGTTGCGCCCTGACGTTGCTAAATCGTGCCAGGGCAGAATTCTTGGGACGGCCAAACGTAAGGATTCTCCATCCTATTCTAAGCTTTGCAGCGAGTGTCCGCGGAACTTAGGAGAGAGCAACATTTCGAAACAATAACCGTCTTCAATCCGTGAAGCTGTCGCAAACCTTCACGGCGAATGTGCGCAGCGCTAAGGCGAGGGCAACATTTTGAAAATCACGCTCCCTGCATCCGTGTTATTCTCGTAAGCCTTGAAGACGAATGTGCGCGGCGCTACGGCGGGAACCACATCTGGAAAATGAGCCACCGTCCATCTGTGACTGTCCTGCACGCTTTTAAGACGTATGTGCGCGACGCTAAGGCGAGAGCCACATTGAACAAAGAACAGTCTTCCATCCGTGAAATGTTTGTAAACTTTCAAGGCGAATGTGCGCGACGCTACAACGGGAACCACAGTTTGAAAACGTATCGCCCACCAGCCATGATACTCCTGCGAACTTTTACAACGAATGCGCGCGGCGCTACGGAGAGAACCACAGCTTGAAAATCATCCAATCCCGATGATAGCTTATGCATAGCCTGTGCTAGGCTCCAATAGGCTCATGGGTAGGCTATCCAAAAGCCTACCATAGGCTTGTGGACAGGCTATCCATACGCCTACCATAGACCTGTGGACAGGTGATCCATAGGCCCATGGTAGGCCTATGGATAGCCGGTGCATAGGCCAGCGATGACGAGGAGGAGGAGGAGGAGGAGGAGGAGGAGGAGGAGGAGGAGGAGGAGTGACGAGTCAAAGCTCTGTCTCCAGTGCCTTAAACCAGGCACAGGCACCAAAGACGCCCCTAGGGCATTTTCACTCAAGCTCATAACCATCACGCGAGGATCCGGGCTAACACCCACGTCATATGATGAAGAATTGAGACAAACCCAAGAATCCTAACAGCCAAGCACGTTGAGGATATCAACATGGCAGGACTGGAGGACACGATTGCCGAGTACGTCAAATGTGTAGAAGGTATGTTCGAGGGGAAGGAGAAGGAGGAGGAGGAGGAGGAGGAGGAGGAGGAGGAGGAGGAGGAGGAGGGGGAGTAAACGCAACAGGATGACACCATGGCCGAGAAAGAGAGAGAGAGAGAGAGAGAGAGAGGAGGGAGAAAGAGAGACAGAAAGAGAACGAGAAAGAGACATATAACGAGAAAGAGAAAAAGGAGGAGGAGGATGAGGAGCAGGAGAGGGAGATGGCGGAGGAGGAGGCACAGGAGGAGGAGGAGGACGAGGAGGTGGAGGAGGAGAAAGTGGAGGTGAGGAGGAGGACGAAAGCAGCAGGAGGAGGAGGACAAGTGTGAACCCAAGAGTCATTAACCATGTTGGAATATGCCCTCCCTCCAAGCTCCTTCTTCGTAGGCCCCTACAACGGTTCGTTTCCACTGAGGGAACTGCTTCGTTGAAGACAGTTGTTTGAAGACCTTGAAGCATGCCAGAACATTCTTCTCGGGATGTCAACGCCACGGATCAACCTGACTGTTGCGTCTTGGCGTTCCTGAATCGTGCCAGAGCGCCGTTCTTGGGAGTTCAACACCGCTCAACGTAACTGTTGCGCCCTCGTAATCTTGAATCTTTCTCAAACGCCATTTCTGGTACGTTGATCATGGGAATTCGTGACACCATCAGCATATTACAAATCGAATGTGCGCGGCGCCAAGGCGAAAACCACATTTTGAAAAGGAGCCGCCCTCAATCCGTGAAGCTCTAAGGCGAGAGCTGTCTGTGAACCTATTGCCAGTTTTTCAGCTTCAGGGTCATAAGTGGTGAGGAAGTCTCAGGCGACACGCCCGGCCCGCCTTAAGAACTGGCCTCGGGGTGCGACAGGGAGAAGCTAAGTAAGCTACTTTCAAGCTATGCGGAAGGAAACGGAAAGGAGGAAGATGAGGAGGAGGAGGAGGTGGAGGAGGAGGAGGAGGAGGGAACGGAACGCAGGACGGAAGAGGAGGAGGGCGTTGGGAGCAGGTGTGCCGGATGAGGGAGTGCCGCACCCCCGCGCGAGGCACACCGGCGCGCCTCGGACGCCTGGGCCTGCAGACCCCAGGCGGCCCCGCCGCCCCAACCGCAAGTCTTGCGGATGGCTAGGGCCTCCCAGACGGGGTCGGAGCAGATGGGGTCGGCGGCTTCCCAGAGGGGGCTGGCGGCTCGCGAGGATAGCGTGATGGGGTCGGAGTACATGGGGTCGGCGGTCTCCCAGACCTGGGTCGGAGTGGATGGGGTCGGCTGCTTTTCAGACGGGGTCGGAGGAAGGGCCGGCGGCTCCGACGGCCCCTTTGTTGGGGTCGATGTGCGATGCGGCACCGCTGGCCCGCATCTGACATGCCATCCCGCCCACCTCGGGGATGGCGCGCACGGAGGAATCCACGGCGGGGGACAGCGTGCCCCGACGAGGCCCTCGCAGGGGGATGGCGTGCGCAGCAGGGGGTCCTCGCTGGAGGATCGCCTCGCAGTGGCAGCGTGCTTTTCGGGGATCGATGCTGCACGCTATCTTTGCGACTCTAACCGTAGATGTGGGGTCGGCGTCGCGCGCCACTTCGCCAGTGCATCGTCGATGTGGCTCAATATGGAGCCCGTGGTTCTACATGACGATGTCGCCGATGCATCGCCGACGTCGCCGATGCATCGCCGGCGCATCGGTGACGCGTCGACGATGCGGCACGATCCTTCGACCCCATCTGCTCTGTTCTGACCACATCCAGGAGGTCTCTATGATATTGCTGCTGGTGCTGCTGCGCTTCCTCTTTCCCATCGGGCAGGTCGTAGGATCGATTGCTCGAGTTGCCATCAACATGGTCCTGCGCAAGTTGCTACATCCAGCACGACGCAACCAGCATGCGCAGTCAGCAAGACAACGGTTGAGAGGGATACCCACCCTTCCACTGCAGCCGCGTATATCAGGTGACACATGCAAACACATCAAGCGAACCATAAATGAGGAAAGTATGACAGCAAGCCATGACCTCTTTCATTCATTTAGACGCATACCGTCACAGTGATTCATACTATACTCAATGACTAACAGCATCAAGCCAGCAACATCACAATTACGACCGCCAGCGACACCACACATTTCATTGAACGACTGGATCTGAAGCAATCATACGTTTCAAGCACCCTGGCTTGACCTAGTTCACAGCTCCATATGTGAGCAGTCTACCCAGTGACGTGCGTTCACCAAGGGCGCCCTCGAGGGCGCGAAGTTATTCGCGCTTCGCGCTTCGCGGTTCGGCTCCGATTTCTCCTCATCCTCTTTTGCTCCCCTGGGAGGCGGCGCGAGAGCGCGAA